TGTTAAGAGTTCGGCTACTGCATTGTGCATGCAACTTCTAATCTCTTTTTAAGAGAAGCCCACACCGGATGCCTTATAGTAATCAATTGGTGGCAATTAAAGTATGGATCTACTCAGAAAGTAATAGCTGATAAGCTAATCTTAATTGTATCAAGGTACACAGTTGTTTTTTTTATTATTGATCATGCTACTTGGTTCAGCAACCATAAGTTCCTTATTCCTGTCTTGGGTCTTAATTATTTTTCTGTCCTGCTATTAATTGGAATTGGAGTTACACATTATGCAATGGGTCTGATTGTTGTTTAGCATAATATATGAACTCAGCTGGTATGGTTTATGGCACAGTACAGTATATTGCATAAATCTAGTCCATTAACACATTTGCTAAACAGCCACTTGGTTCACTTAATGTCTGTGCTGACTTGCTTAACAGCCATGGGAAACAAGGTCATAAAAGTAGATGTGACTCACTTAATGAACTCATTGTTCAGCAACAGAAGTTCTGGACCTAATTGTGGTCATAAATCAAGGACTACCTTTACATTGTTGTATTATGTCTGAGCTTTTCTAAGATATTCCCTTAACTTGTACATCAACAAAAATTGATAACCCATTTATAATCTGACAGCTGCTGATAGATGCAAAGAAGATCTATATAATCATAACATCTGGTGGGAAGATGTTGTTTTCAGAGTATTTTAAATAAAAGTGTGAGCACACAATCAGTGCAATCACATTGGAAATGTCCCGATGGATCAAGCTAAGGACCTGCTATAGCTGCTGTGGGAAAGAAAAGTAGGCTTTTCTGAACCCTGTTTCATTTCCAGATATCTTGTATAAAAACTTTCAAACTGTCTTGACAGATGCCTGGTGATTGATGAAGCAGACCGGATGGTAGAGAGGGGACATTTCTTAGAGCTGTCTCAGTTGCTGGAAATGTTGAGCGACACACAGCATAACCCAAAACGTCAGACATTTGTCTTCTCTGCCACCCTGACTTTGATCCATCAAGCTCCCACTAGAGTTCTGCAGAAGAAAAATGCTATCAAAATTGACAGGAAGACCAAGCTGGAAATGTTGATGCAAAAAGTGGGCATCAAGGGAAAGCCCAAAGTGATAGATTTGACCAGAAAAGAGGCAACTGTGGAGACTCTCACAGAGACCAGAATCCATTGTGATACAGAAGAGAAAGATTACTATCTCTATTATTTTCTGCTGCAACATCCAGGCAGGACCATGGTTTTTGCAAACAGCATAGATTGTATCAAACGACTTACTGCACTCTTGACCATCATGGACTGCAATCCACTGCCTCTTCATGCAAACATGCACCAGAAGCAAAGGTTAAAAAATCTGGAGAGATTTGCTGAACGGAACAGGTTAGCATCTAATTCTTCTTTTTTTTAATATATATGTTTTTATCCCAGCTTTCTTTTCATAAACAACTCAAGGTCATGAACGTACCAATATACCTTCTTCCTCCTGTTTTCTCTACAACAACCCTATGAGGTAAGTTGGGCTGAGGGAGAGTGACTGGCCCAAAGTGACACAGCTGGCTTTCATGTGCAAGACAAATCCAGAACTTATAGTCTCATGGTTTCTAAGTCAGCACCTTAACCACTACACCAAAATGGCCCTCTAAATGTAAAATAAACTAATAATTCAATATAGTTTAATTATATATTTTATACAATATATAAATACCGTGTTTCTCACAAAATAAGGCTGGGCCTTTTTTTTTTTTTTTAACCGAACCCCGAAAAAACGGCTAGGACGTCTTTTCAGGGGTAAATTAATTTCCCTTCCCCCCCCCCCCCCAGCGCACTAGCGCCGTCTCCAACAACAGCATCTGAGTCACTCCTGCTTTTCCCTCGTCCCCGTAACAACAGGAAAAAAAACATTTTGAGGTACCTGGGAGCGCCGCGTGCTACGTTTTGGTTTAGTCCCGAGCGGCTGGGTGGCCGTGAGAAGAGCCGAGCGAGCGTCTCTGCTGCTGCTACGCTTGGTGCTCCAGCCTCGGGCTCTGCAAGTTTGCAAAAGTCCCGGTGCACAGCCCGTTCCTACATTCCAAGCTCCCAGGCCGAACTGCAGCTGTCCCTCTCTCGCCAGCGCCGTCTCCAGTAACAGCGGCAGCAGTGGCGGGAACCGTGGAAGTTACGGAGGCAGCTCCCCCACCCGAGAAGCAGCTGAAATGCTTCCACGGTTCCCACCGCTGCTGCCGCTGTTATTGGAGATGGCGCTGGCAAAAGAGCTCACGACCACCCAGCCGCTTGAGATTAAACCAAAATGCAGTGCAGGTACCTCAAAAAAATTTTATTCCTGTTGTTACGGGAACAGGGGAAAAGCAGGAGCGACTCAGACACTGTTGTTGGAGACGGCGCTGGCTAGAGAGGCGCCAGCACCAGTGGGAACCGTGGAAGCTACGGAGGCCTGAGAAGCGGCTGAAACGCTGCCGGACATCCACACTGATGCCTGCCTGCTGACCTGGGTAAGGGAGCCCTCTGTGCTCCACCATGGTGTTAGGAGAGGCTGATGGTGAGGCGTAGCTGCCTGCTGGGCACTCCTAGTGGCAAGTTCCCCCCGCCTTCCCCCCCCAATTTCGCATGTTTTAAACTAGGCCTAAATTTGGGGGGAGGGGCTTAATTTCATTTTATGCCTAGAAAACATGCTGGGTCTTCCTATTGGGGGCATATTGTTGGAGAAACACGGTACATATGTGTGAGTATGTATGTATGTATGAACACACATACATACACATGCTAAATTTAGTTTATATGCTTGTTTCTCTGGTAAATATGAATTGTCCAAAATGGATCACGTTTGTGTTAGGTCCAATAAAAGAAAGTATAAAGAGAACAAGAAAGTTCAGAAATTCTCCACAAACAAATGAAGTAAATAGAATAGAAGGTATGACAATTCATCTATAATGGCAAAAACTACTAGAATCTCCCTTGTATTACTTTTTAAAACAATTCTTATTTTTATTTTAAGAAATGCTGGTTTCATTCATTTCAATCGAATCAGTAGCCAATCTTAGCTGATCAGATTTTGGCTGGGAGATGACCAGGAAATACCCTGGCTGTGGGCTAGAATGGGAAATTGAAAACCATCCCAAAAGGAGGCAGTAGCAAAACCTATTTTGTTCTGTTGCTGTGGAAACTACACGGATGTCCCTGTAGAGTCTCCAGGAATTGTACTTTATTCAACAAAGGCCCTACCTTTCTAAAGCTGTATTTATCTACTACAGTATGAATTAATTATATCCATTAATCACAGTTAACTGATTTATTTGCTTTATTCTGTTTATCTTCTGTTTGTCTTGGTCCACTATGCTTTAACTTAATCTCTTTATCTTCATTGTGACATATTCACAATCCATACTATTTTGCTAGGTTAACCCACCTGGCCATCTGGTGGAGTACAGATGAGAACATTGTAAAGAAGGTTTCTCACCCCACCCACCCCAATTCTGTTTAATAAACTGCTGCTGTCCTTCTGTAATTTCAGCTGTCCCCTATTGACAACAGATGTAGCTGCTCGCGGTCTGGATATTCCTTATGTACAGCATGTCATACATTACCAGGTACCAAAACAAAATGTGTATGTCTCCGGCTATTGCTTGTAAGTTATGTTTTATGCGATTTTAAAAGAACCAGATGGATTTTATGGTCTGTGAGTTTTAACATGGCAAAAGGAAGAGAATTTGATGCATAATATAATAATAATATAATATGAGCCTCGGTGGTGCAGTGGTTAGAGTGCAGTACTGCAAGCTACTCCTACTGCAATTTGACAGATCGAATCCCACCAGGCTCAGCCTTCCATCCTTCCGAGGTGCCTCAGCCTTCCATCCTTCCGAGGTGGGTAAAATGAGGACCCAGATTTTGGGGGGCAATATGCTAACTCTGTAAACCACTTTGAGAGGGCTGGAAAGCACTAAAAAGTGGTATATAAATCTAAGTGCTATTGCTATAGTGCTATAAGCTAGGCCATTATTTGACAGAGGATAAATATAAATCTCTGAGAGTTGAGGCATTGCCATGAAGTTTGATGTTGCTGCCCACTGCATTTTCTCTTCACGTATGTCTTTTAAATATTCAAGCATCTTCAGGTGATAGACTTAGCCACTTTGTTTTCCCTTGCCCCTTCCCATCCATTCTTTTCCATTGCCATAATAATAGCTTCCTAACCCTAACCTTCTTCATAAGGAAAGAAGAGCTTCATTGCACAAAATATATTCTGTCTCCAAGATAGAACATTCTGAGAAAGATTGAGCTTTACTAGTCCATCTCAGTGTGGCATTCCAGGAGTGGTCCAGCAATTTTCCAGAAACAAGTCTTCCTAAAAAGAAAATGATGCATGTCATTCTAGTCACTGGTACCAGAGCGTTAATGTCTCTGACTTTTCAGTGTTCACATCGACTTGTAGATAAGTTCTACAGAGTCAGAAGTTTTGATCTTGGGTGTTCTCTGCATCTCCGTGAACTTACTCAGGCTATCATCACATTACAACAATGTAATCCATCCAACCGTGCTAGAAAGGATTCTATAGAATTGTCTTTTTTATATCAGCATTGTCCTGTCTCTGTGGAACTGTTGCATCTCTTGTGCTGTTCCAGGTTCCTCGTACTTCCGAGCTTTATGTTCACAGAAGTGGCAGGACTGCCAGAGCTGCCAATGAGGGACTGAGCTTGCTACTGATTGGGCCCCACGACTTGATTAATTTTAAAAAGATTTATAAAACCCTGAAGAAGGATGAAGAGCTTCCTTTCTTTCCAGTTGAGGCAAAATACATGACAGCAATCAAGGTAAAAAAAATAATTCTTTCTTTCAGAATTAACTATGCTTTTAACGGCATAACTTTTCAGGCTCATGGAGATCTTAAAGCAAAAGGTAATTTTAATTCAATTTGGGAACTTAATTGGAGAACCTGTGTATAGCAACAGTTACATAGTTTTGACGTTTGTTTTTGTGAATCCTTCCATGAGGTGACTATGGCCTTAGGTCCTGAATCTGCTCCTAAGGTAGTAAGAGAGAATCTGGAACTCAGACCATTGGATTCATTCTTTGTTGTACAAATCTGTTCAAAAAACTACACCAAAGATGCCTTTGTCTTCTTGGCTCACCGGCTATCTCATCACACTACAGTTAGTCCTCGACTTAACCACCACAACTGCACACCATTTTAAGAATTTTTCTTGCCATGGTTGGTAAGCAAATCACTGCAGTTTTTAAATGAACCTTGCAAATGTTAAGCGAATATGGCTTCTCTCAGTGACCTTGCTTGTCAGAAGCCTTGTGGGAAGGTTACAAATGGTGATCAAATGACCCTGAGACAGTACAACTGTCATGAATACATGCCAGTTGCCAAGTGCTCAAATTTTGATCACACGACCATGGGGAAGTTGCAACAGTTGTAAATGTGAAAAATGGTCATAAATAACTTTTTTCAATGCCGATATGGCTTTGAACAGTCACTAAATGAATGGTTATAAATAGAGGACTATCTCTACATATTCAGTTTGTACTCAGCTTCTGGACCAAGGTCTTTTTCAGAAATACAATTACCATCCCAAATATTTCACATTTCATACTGCACATTTGATTTACATTCTTAAGTGAAAAAAAATGCATGTGTCACAGTTACGATCTCAATATATTATTTTCAGACCCCTGCCGTGATAGTTTAATCTTTCTTTTCTGGAATATTAGTTACCCCACCAATTTTGTGTCCTCTGCAAATCTGATAAGCCATTTCTCCATGTCTTGTTTTTTTAACTAATCAGTAAAACGGTTGAAGAGTAGAGACTATGGGGTTGAATCTTTGACAGTGGAAAAGCTTTGCTGGCTAGCTTTTCCATTCTGCCACATCCGGGCTTTCGGATGTTTTTCTCATGTGCCCAATTTCTGGCCCTGTATGAATCACACTTGTACATAACCTGATAGCTTAGTTATCCTCTTTTCTTTGTTTCAGGAGCGTGTGAATCTGGCAAGACAGATTGAGAAGATTGAGTATTTCAACAGCCGAGCCAAGCATCAAAACTCATGGCTCCAGCAAGCTGCAGAAGCACTTGAAGTTGATCTGGATGATGATGAGCTAACAGGCAAGTAGGAATAAATGTGCAGACTGGGGAGGTCTCCAAAAAGATGCCTTCTCTCTTAGCCAGGATGCAGTCACAAGGAATGGCCACATGCCCGAAAATCCTGGTTGCATCATGGTATCGTCTCACAAATTAGGCAAAATTCATGATATCATTTGTTCCAGTTCTAGAGGGTGCCCATGTGGTCCTGGTCTCTCTTTTGATCTAAAATAAATGTAGCTATTTTGGGGCAAGGACAAAATTTTCAGCTGCAGGCTTCATTCTAACTTGGTAAGAACGATTTAGGTATTCATGAGATGAACAGCTTTTGGCGATTGTATCCTGGAGTTAAGATGTTGCAGTAAGTACAACCATAATTGCAAATTTGTTTGAGTGTATCTTTCCCTCTCATGTTTTTTTAGAAAGATTTCGGGTGGGGAAAGCTGTGTGAGAATACAGTGCTATGCTATATTAGAACTTAAACTACAATGTTCATACATTCCCACCTTAAAACGACAAGAAGTGGCATCACTGCATTTCAGACAGCAGCTCCAGCAAGACTAGCAAAATTTACTATTGTAACTCAAGGGCAGAAATTGCTCACCTTTTTCTTATAATGGGAAGACGGCTGATATTGAACTACACAAGACACCCCTCTCCCATTTAAACCCCCGGTTTTAGCTCCGGTTTGAAATGGGGGCTCTTTGGTGTTATCTGAGCTTGGTTGTTTTCTTGCAGATGTTTCATTACCCAATCTAGTTTGGGTAATAAAACATCTGCAAGAAAACAACCAAACTCACAGAGCAAGGACCCCTCAGCACCAATACTCAATGGCAAAACTACCCATATTCAGTAGTACAATATTTCATGCCTTTTTCTCCAAAAATAAGGGTGCTAACCGGAGCAGGACGTTTCTGGGAGGCAAACTTCTTTTATTTGTACTGTTAATACACACACAAAGATAGAAAGAAATGGATGGAAATTATGTTACCAAAATCTAACTATCTTGCTGGCAAATTGCAGCACCATGATATTTAGTAATAGCAATAGTGCTTAAATTTATATACTGCTTCCCAGGGCTTTACAGCCTTCTCTAAGCGATTTACAGAGTCAGCCTATTTGGGTCCTCATTTTACCCACCTCGGAAGGATGGAAGGCTGAGTCAACCTTGAGCCAGTGAGAATCGAACTGCCAAACAGAAGTAACCTGCAATACTGCATTCTAACCACTGTGCCACCATGTCTCTTTAGATGACTTTATTAAATTTTGTGACTGGAAATGGACACTTTTGCCTCTTAGAGGTCTGCCATTCCACTGATACTGATATTACTATTAATCTTCTGGAAAGTTGTAAGTCTCCTGCAGCTTTCTTGGAGGCTGAGAGGTGTCTCCGCCCCCCTAATCCCCCCCCCCCCATCTCTCAAACATGATGCTCTGCCTTTTAAGGTAGATAGGCAGACTTCGCTCTGGATCCTTCCCAAATGAATAGATGCAAAAGGCACATGAACGTTAATACAGTTTATTGACTTGTACATCTTCCATCACACCCAACATTGGCTTCTGTGGTTGGCACCAGCACACCAGATCTGACACACTATTGTTTTCCAGCTTCATTATCAGAGATCTTTGTGAAAGAAAAGCTTGATTGAACCAGAGGCCCTCTATGTGAAAAATATCTGCCCTGCCATTGTATTTTGGTCGTCCTATAGTTAAATGAGAAAAATACTTAGAAGGAACATCTAATACAGCCTACTGATTGTTTTAAATAGGAATGGATAACATTGAAACTGGGATGTCAAATTAGATCATTATACACCTGAGTCCCGAGTTACAGCCTTGCCAATTTATATGGGTTATATATAACTGGAAAGGACGTTGTGTGTTTCTACTTGAAGGCTGGGATATTTTTAATCATTCAAATTATGACTTCAGTAATGAGCTTGACCTTTTCTTTTTATGTGTTATTCCGTGTTTTTTTTAAAAAAATATTATTATAGGAGGCCAGTTCACTGAGCAAGAAGAGAGCGAGAAGCACAGGATGCTGAAGGGGATGAAGAAGCAGCTTAAGCGCTTGCTCAGTCAGCCAGTATTTAAAGGTCTTATGAAAACCAAATACCCAACCCAGTCGGGGAAATTAGTTCTGTCTGACTGCATAGGCCAGCATTCTCAGTCTGCCTTGAGTGCTATATCAAAAGTACAAGTGAAGAAGGCAAAGAAGAAACAATAATAGACACATGTGAAACAATTGACAGGACATATGAAGATGAAAGCTAAAAAAAATTTCTTTTCCTCCTTTTGTAGATATGACTTACTCAGAATTCATTTCATGCAATTATCTATCTTGAATAAATGATTATGATAATCTGCTACTGTTATTTCCATATCATCTGTGGATTCAAAAAACAAGAGTTGGTAACTTTTTCATGTGCTGGGCACCATCAAAAGATCTAGTACAGTAGCCCAAGGATATGATGAAACATTCACATAAAAATGCTCAGATCTTCCAAGATTATGAAAGCTTGAAAGATGTTGGTCTTATATTTCAAGATCTCAGGCAAGAAGACTGAAATCTCATGAGATATTAGCCTACTTGAATGAAGCTTTGGGCATTTTGAAACACTTAATTGAAAAAATAATGGGACTTATCAGTGCTGAACTAGAAGACCTTGGCATAAAGATTTCCATCCACCTGATTTTTACCAAAGCAACTAATGCTTGGTTGTATATTTAGCACACATAAAAGAAAACATCATTAATTAATAGCATTTACATGTGATACATTTTGATGTAAAAGCAGTGATCATGGTAAGCACAAAACATAGTCCAGCTTTTTTCAATTTGGTGTCCTTCAGTTACATTAGGAAAGGCTCTCCCAGAGTTTCAACCAATATTGTTGGCCATGCTTAACAATTCTTAAAAGTTGCATTCCAAACATATTTATAGGTTACCATACTACGGGAAGCTGGGATAATCTTCCTATGAACCAATCCTATGCATTGGTCCAAAACTATCCCAACATCTTCCACAGTGGTGGGATTCAATTTTTTTTACTACTGGTTCTGTGGCCGGTGGCTTGGTGGGCATGGCAGGGGAAGGATACTGTAAAATCTCCAGTCAGAGGTGGTATTTGCCGGTTCTCCGAACTACTCAAAATTTCCGCTACCGGTTCTTCAGAACTGGTCAGAACCTGCTGAATACCACCTCTGATCTTCCATATCTAAAGGAGACCTAAAACCTGTTCCCTGTTCCTGGTCCAACTCCTTAAAACACTATGCCATACTGATTGTCAAATCTGCTCTACATGTCACTATGTATTTTGATATCTCTGATGACTCAACACTAGATGGCATCAAAGCATTACATTTCTGATACTCATGAAAAAACTGATGTAGGACAAACACATTTAATCCTCCCTTCTATTTTCCCCAGAACGACAACCTGGTGAGGTGAGCTGGGCTGAGAGACAGAGTGAGAGTCACCCAGTTGCCTTTCAATTTTGTAATTATGTAATTATAACAACCAATATTTTAATAACAAGTTATAATTATATATAATTGCATATCAAAATTTCTGTTTGAACTCTCACTTTATTACCAGATCATCTGGTAATCGGGAGGATTTGGTCCAAGAGTTTCAGAGACTTTCAGGGCCAATAGAGGATTTGAACACAGGCCTCCCTTCTGACCACCATCGTATCTCTTTTTGTGAATCGCTGTGTATTTCGCTGTATTTTCATCACCAGAAAAACAGAATCTAAACAGTCTTTTTCATTGAGTAACTTGTGAGATTAGGTCAATGCATTTAAAACCTCAGCTGCATTTGAAAAACTTTCCACTGATTTCTTTTTTAATATATTTAATAAGACCTTTCTGGTTTATCTACTTTATTAATAAATACAATGCTTTATGGCATAATGAGCTTTATTAATATTAACTTCCACTTCTGGTTTAGAGTCATGTCTCTATAAAAGAAATTATGACAGGATCCTGCTTTAAGATTTTGCCCTATCATGCCCCCAATATATCCACAAATAACTGACTTCCTCTCATCCCAGGCCATGAACCAGACAGGCTTACATCACCTTAACTGGGTTAATGTTACAGTAGTAGTTTCTCCCTATTCTGACAAAGTTCAAGAAGATTTCAAGTGCAAAGTCCATTTGACTGTATTATCAGTTACCTTAAAGCAGCGTTTCTCAACCTCAGCATCTTTAAGAAGTGTGGACTTCAATTCCCAGAATTCCTCAGCCATTCTATTGACTGTTTATACATCTTAAAGAAACACTGCCTTATAGGAATATCAGGAAATTGCAGTGACTTGAAACAAAGGAAATGAAGGCAAGAGAAAGATTGACATTGGGAACAACATATTGGGCTGGTATAATTTTTTTCAATTCAAGGAGGAGTGGGAGCACTTTCACTCAGAAGTGAGGAAAGAACCATAGTCTATAATTTTAGGAGATATAAATGTGGGGTGCAGAGCATCAGAATTATCCAAACCAAATTTAGGACTATATAGATTCGCACAAATGCAGAAACAAATGATGGCATGAACATTTTCACAGTTAAAGAAGAAAAAAGCAAAAAATATGTGCCATTATTCAAATCCATTAGTGATTACTTCTATGGGTGCAATATATATCCAGATTTGAAAGAGATAACTCAGAGCTGGTTGACATTCTGCAGCATTTGTTTTTAATTACGAATCCAATTGGAGCAAAGTTGCTAAAATCATTGCTAAAATAGAGGTGCACAATTATGAATCCCCAGGCCACTAAGAACCTTAAATTCTTCTTTCAGAGACCCTTCAAAACTTATCTCAGACTATGTTTATGAGAGAAAACAGGTTTCAAAATTATGTGTTGTGTTTCAAATATATAGATATAATTACATTTTTTATTTATCAGCTGTGGATGAATGAAATCAGATGTGATATGTGCTGTACCACATCTGCCTTGATCCTACCAATTATCTGGAATGAATCCCTAATCAGGCCTTAATTCAGCCTTAACCTTGTAAGGTTGCACACTCTTAAATATACATTATGAGCAAACAGTTAGCATCTACAGCTTTCATAATAGATCACTAGAACATTTTTACAGAAATGTTCACATAATACTTAAAACAAAAATTGAAGGTGAATCATTGTTGGTTTTCCTCATGGAATGTACTTCTCCCATCCAATTTCTGATTAAAAAGCAGGGAAATATGGTACAAAATGTTGGCTTTGTATTCTGTTTCTAGTAGACATTTCAGACATTTTATCTGTGGCTACAGACATTTGTAAATATTGAATCTCAAAGGTGCAAGAGGACCAGGTTATATGCAGGTCTGCATAAATCTCCCAAGGATTTATGCCCATTCCACCAGGTCAGAAATGGTGGGTGTGCTGTAGATAAGATTTGAGGGGGAGCTGGTTCCTCCCCGTCCAGATCTTCCCAGCCTCCAGGCACCATGTGGCTTCTTAAATCCTCCCTCTTTCCCCTCCCCAAAGGATAAGAGAGGCCCCTCCTTTCCCTTCACTCTGCCCCACAGGTATGATTAAGCACTTATGATTTTGTTATAATTAAATAAGCATTTATACATATAAAATATTAAATTTATATTTAATATAAAAATTAAAAATTTATATTAAATATATTATCTTTTTTTAAAAAATTCATATTAGTGGTCCTCAGGATTTAAAAGTATGAGTTTGGTCCCTGAGGTCGAAAAGGTTGGCAACCCCTGCTCTAGATCCTGTCACCCCTTCAAAGTAGACATATAGGAAAATGAAGTTATGACTGCTAATTCTACTTTTATTACAAGATTACAATAACAGAGTCTTGTAAGTGTGAATATGTTTCCACCTCCCTCTCTTTTTTTCTGTGAAAACTTGGGAGGAGCAAACATGAAGTACTTTCTCAAATTACATGTCTTCCCAGATTGAAATATCTTTTTTCTGATTGTTGTTTTGGTTGCAGCTCTTCCTCTTGTTCCTCAAGATTTTTCCTTCTGTCCATTACAGGTCTCATCACTTAAATGTTGTCAATTGATAGAATCCTTGAGACACACTTAATCTGTAGCCACCCCAGCCTTTTAGAATAGTCTCCCACCCAAGATTCAAGGAATGCCTATTCTTTTAGCCTTCCGGAGGCCATGAAGACCTGGATCTTTCTCCAAGCATTGGGCCAAGGATGGAGATTTGTTCAGAAAGCTGATTTGTCTAGCACCTGGTGGGAAGAGTGGTATTATCTGTATTGTTAGGAATCTGTCCACCAATTAGTTGGGTTGGCAATATATAAACTAACAATGTATGTTTGTAGCTTTAAGACAAAGCCACTGTGTTGATTTGTACTATATTCCAATTGGTTGGTTGTGTTGCGAATTGCCATGAGAGGGAGCTAGAGATCCTGGCTTGCTCTCTCTGACATTCTGTATTTCTTACATTCTGTTGCTATCTAAGCTGTGCTTATACTTTGATATCTTTGTTTGCTGTAAATGACAAAGGCAACCGGTAAGAAGATTTTGTAATTGGATATTATTTGGACTGTTAAATATATATGACTTGGACTGTTTATTGGACTGTGTTATTTCTTAAAGTAAACTTTTAACTCAATTTAGTATATCTGAGTGTGGCTGAATAATTATTCATAACTACTCTCATAAACGTTTCAATGTACATATCCTTGTTACTCAAGGGTTATTCTGTATGGGCCCAGAGAGATATTGAGAATCAGTGTGAATATACAGTTTCATATTCAGACAGCTAATTGTGGTTTATTGTTAAACTACAAGAACAGTCAACCAGTATATCCCAGATAACCTGGTTGGCTGGAACAAACTATATTTCCTGGTCTATGAAGTGCAGCCTACTTCTGCGTAAAGACAGATTATGGACTGTAGTTAATAGTCCACCGGATGTAAAAGCATAGGGCCCATTGAATGATGAAGATAAAAAGAAAATAGCTGACTTTAACCGGGATAATGAAAAGGCTCTTAGTATAATTGGACTGACACCGAGTGATCAGCAGTTAGTCCATATTCATGGTGAAGAATCTGCTGCTAGGTGTTGGGACATTTTAAAGAGGATTTATGCTTGAGATAGTGTGGGTGCACACATACACCTTACACATAAACTGTTTAGAGCCCGTCTTATAAAAGGTGGTGATATGTTAGCTCATTTGGAGTTTATGAAAAGGACTTTACAAGAGCTACAAGAAAAGCAGCTGATTTTCTTGGAGTTGCATCAAGTTTACATCATTCTTTCTTCTTTGGATGAAACTTATGATGATTATGTGTCTTCACTGGAAGTTTTAAACAGAGATGAACTTGCATTGACTGGCATAACTGGAAGACTGTTAGAAGAGTCAAGAAGAAGGCAAGATAGAAATCAACTGAGAGAGACAACCACAGGAAGAAAAACTGTCTTCAACTGTCTATATTGTTAGGAAATATTTTTCTTGTGGGATTAAAGGTCACATAGCCAAATACTATAAAAAGGGTAAGAAACAGAATGCTATTAATGTACAGAGAGCTTATAAAGATGTTAGTTTAGCCATATTTAGTACAACTACAACTATAAACCATGATATATGGTAGTTGACAGTGGAGCATTGCAGTGTATAACTAACAGTAAAGAGAGGTTTGTTAACATGACAAAGAGTAAACAGCATGTATCATTAGTTAATGGATGGAAATTGAGAGCATCTAGAGAAGGTACTGCATATTGTTCATGTATTAATGAATGTTTACCGATGTTATATGTACCTAGACTGATATTTAATTTGCTATCTGTAAGAGCACTGGTAAAAGCAGGATTTGTTGTAACCTTTCAGAGAGATAAATGTTTAATTGAAAAACAGGGTAAAAGTTTTACTGCAAGATTGGATAATGGTTTATTTATTATACATGATAATCCATTAATTAATATCAACTCAGTTTATGAGAATAAAAAGTCTCATGATGAATGTATTCATCTGCTCCGTAGATGTATGGGACATATAAATTTCAAAATGCTAAAGAAAACTGTTGAGTTATCTAATGGTATAAAATTAAAACCTTGTACAAAGTATTTAAATTGCAATGTTTGCAATCAAGAAAAAAGCAACTCCTGCAAATAGGGTAAATGGATTCAAAACCAGTGAACCATTAGAGGTTGTTTTTGCTGATATTATTGGACCTAAGAAACCTAGTTTAGGTGGAGCCTGTTAAGTACAATTGATCATTTTCCCAGATATGGTTTCTGTTATTTAATGAAAACGAAGAAAGAAACATACCAGCATTTTGTAAACTGGCTAAAATTTGCTGAAAGGAAAAAGAAACAGAAAGTTATTAGCTTAGTAACAGATAATGGTACTGAATTTACCAATAGAAAATTTGAAGCCATGTTACAGAAAGCTAGCATTGAACATAAGCATTCTGCTCCTTATAGACCACAACATAACTCATATATTGAACATAGAGGACAAACATTACAGGCTACGGCAAGGACTATGATTTCAGATTCTGGTTTATCAGAGAAACTTTGGGGTGAAGCAATAATGTGTGCTAACCATGTTTTGAATAATGTAGTGAATTCAACGACTGGTGAATTACCATTTACTTGTTGGAATGGAAAAAAGCCAGATCTCAGTTATTTACATACTGTCAGCTTTAAAATTCAGCTGCCACATTTTTTTTAGAGAGTTGGAGGAGTTGAAAAATTCAAAGTTATTCTGTATGTCATATTAAGAAATTCCAATGGCAGTTAATTGGATCTCATGATTTATGAAGTGTAGAAGTGGGAGGAGAGAAGGAAGGAGAGAAGGTGGATTGTGTGTAACGTGCGAAATTCACTTGGGAAATTGCCTTTGACATGCCAGATCTGTTTCTAAATAAATCAATTGGAGAGAAATGTCTCGGAGTGATTGATATCATGGATACTTTCTGGATGCCTTACATTTATTTCCCAAGACAAACTTTTATTTTTTGAAGGGGCTTGGCTGATACCTCGGAGTTCTTTTTCCTGAGATGGAAAATTATCAATAATCAGCCGAAGTTGGAGAGATGCAGGGGGGAGAGTAAGGGGGCCCTCCCTCCGGAACATTAATTGAATCTGCAAGCCTTTGTTTGGAGGAGATGATGGATGCTTCCAGAATGACAGTAGAGGGAAGAGGTTTGGGAGCTATACCAAAGCGTTTCAACTCAAGAAGTTATTATAACCCAGAGGTAACCCAGCCGGTTGAAGAGAAATCTTTCTCGAGCCCCAGACAGATTGCTATTCTGTCTGACTGGAGGGAGGAGACGATACAGATGCCAGTTGGAGGAAGCCAGAAAGACGCATCATCTGACAGAGGCATGTTGCAGCCTTGGAGGTAATCCCCTCATTTTCCAGAGAGAATTTTGCCCCCTGCAGAGAGTATCCCTCCAGGGTGGGGATTTTATCCAGGCCAGGGGTGGATTCAATGCCAATGGGTAGGGTCAAACTTGTGGCCTGCAGGGTTTCTCAAAATCCTGGGATTTTTTGCACCCACATCAACAAGCCATCATACCCCAAATCAAGGACTATCAACTCACTACAGCTACAGCTTGCAAAGGATAGAGCAGGAGCACATCGTTAGTCCCACTGTTTGGGCAGGGACGGTGTTCTGCACCCCTGCCTGACACCCTTGTACCAAGAGGCGTACACCTTTCCCAGCTAACTTGACAAGAGATCCCTCATCACTGCTACTTCCCATTCAGGCACTAGCTACTAGCCGCAGAAGGCAAGTACATAGTGACACCAGCCCTACCCTGCTACCTTCTATCAGCTGTAGGTGATGGAAGGTCATCTCAGCCCAAATGGCAGGAGCAAGATGTTTTCTGGCACAGCCCTAACCATCCAACTCTGTCAGGTGAAGGTCGAGATTATGTATCTGCTGATCTTTCATAACCCTCTTTCACTTGTCACCCCAAAGCTGTGTTCAGACAGGACTGCCTATCCACTTCTTGATACTGAATTACCATTCCTTTTCTCCCATGCATTACAAAGCTGCTAATCCCAGATTCCACATCTAACTAGCCACCTTCTTCTCATGATAACCCTGCAAGATAGGCAAAGCTTATACTCAAATCTTAAAGTGATTTGAAATCTCTACTGCTTATAAGTGGAAAACATCAAATAGCAGTCAGCTTTTTTCTCAGCGACATATTGTATTTATTCAATAAATATTTAGCCTTTAACAAAATTACTTTATTTAATTAAATTTTATGTTTACACCAGTAAAGTAAACATACTTTACATACAGTAAACTTCCACTAGAGTAAAAAAATGAAGAGTGCATTTAGAAAAAGACTTCAGTGTTGTAGCCTTTTGGTGAATAAAGTAGTCCACCTGATAATATGAGTTTGAAACTCCTGGTTTAGGTCATTCCACAATAGAACTGAGTAGCATTAGTTTAACCCTGTGCACGACTGAGTATATTTAGGGTTCAATTCCATCCCATTGGAATTAGTTAGGTGTATGAATCATTCCCCTTTTGATATTTCTCCATGTATTAAGCTTCTAATTCAGGGGTGTCAAACTCAAAACCCATGGGCCAGATTTGGCCCGCAAGGTGCTCAGATCTGGCCCACAGAGCCTCCCTGGAAACAGTGAAGGACCAGCCTACAGTGCCTCTGCCAGTGAAAACAGAGCTTGGGAGGGCTGCGCGCGGTCCTCCCAATTCTGTTTTCGTTGGCAGAGGGTTGCAGGAGGCTGTTGTGGCTGAAAATGGAGCTCGGGAGCCCATTTGCTCTGGCCACCATAGGCACCCCCAATACGAGTGATGTCAAGCTGGCCTCCCGAGGTCAAACACAACTCTAATGCAGCCCTTAATGAAATCGAGTTTGATATCCCTGTTAATCCAGTTAAATATGTTGGGAGACAAAGAGCAACAGTATATCCAATGCCTTCTAATGACAGTAAGACTGAGCAATCTCAAATAACTCTTGTGTGTCTATAAATGAAAAATAAAGCAAATATACCATAGCTATTAACTCATATTTTTATACTGTCCATTTCATTTGGGAGAAGCCTGCCCTTCAAGGTTGACCTGTCATTCTGAGAAGACAGAACTCAATGCATCTTTACAATAAAGCAGACATTTATTCAAGGTTTCCCTGGGTAGGAATTATCTTTTTGCAGAGAAGTTACCATACATATCTATTTGCAATGCACTAAGCGTAAAAAAAGCAATATCTACAGCCATAAATATAGAACATTAATCTCACCCAGTTTGCTGCAAGCCTATAAACATGTATTATTATTTTTTTAAAGCACTCCTCAAATAGACATTTGATCTCATGCTTTATATTGCTTGGTATTACTCTTCCTGTTCATTATGTTTGCTCTTTATTCACCACTTCCTGCAACATAATTGAGTACTTTGGGGCAAATTCAAGGCCATTTGTGAAGGTATGGCATAATCAGCTATCTTGTAGTGATATTTCTCTGTGACATTTCAGTCATTGATCCTGAACATCTCACCGATAGGTTATTTCATTTCATCACTGAGAAACAATATAGACGTTTGCAAAGTTATTCCATTAATTTTAAGTAGGTATTTAAAAAATGGTATCATAAAAAAAAATCACAAGTGTGTATTTGTGCTTTAAAAATAATCCAGACATTTCTTATAATCAGGTATGGAGTGAAGCGTATGTGTGAAGTTAGGAGAATTCTAAATGGCCATGGATTATAATTTCATATATAATCTGATTTTTTGCCTAATTAATTCAAAGTTTTAAATTTGTGTTTAATCCGACAGAACTCACTTCAGAGCAGCACCACCAACCATATGTAGGGTGGCCAGATGCAATATATTTCTACAACCTTGAGAGTTGGTTAAAATATAGAATTCTAGTAGCTAGAACTGGTTATGAAAGATGGTTGTGAAAGATTGGACTGCCATTTGTCAGAAATGGTGTAGGGTGTCCCGCTTAGGTGGTGGGTTGGACTAGATGACCTATAAGGTCCCTTCCAACTCTGATTATCTGTTATCTATTACAGATGCACCTCCTGACATTTGCCTTCTTTATAATTAATAAAGGTATAGCAATTCTACCAGTATTTGCAACTATACATGGTCTTCTCATAAACATTCCCTGCCCCCAAAAAAATAACATATGTAAGCATTATTGTAGTACAAAAGAAAATATAAAAATCTGATGTGTTTTTTAAAAAAAACACTTTTCCTGGTTTTTATTAATATATCATTATCATCCAGTAACATCTTTGCTAGCTAATACAAGTACCAGATATATTATTATTTAATCTCCATTAAACTTTGCTGTTAAAGTACACTTACTGAAATACTTAAAAATATAAAGGTTCAGATTATTTGTAGGCAGCATGTTTGAACGTAAGTAAATTGCTTCACTGTAGGCCATTTAATTGAACAGTGTTATGGAGAAACTGGCAGGCAGTTAGTGATCCTATGTTAAAAGTACAGTATTGTTGAAAGTGGACTGCGATCTATTGGTTTCTGTTTAGAATAAAGTTGGCTGAAAAATCTTAAATGAACTGACTAATTTCCACTGACTAAGATGTATAGGACATTGGCTTAGATTGGAACAAGTTTTATTGCAACATTTTGAGGGCGCATCATGAGGATAAGCAGCTACACTGGGTCTGTAAGATGATCAAAGATTTAGAATAATTATCCAGTCATTACTTCAGTCTGGGAGTGGATGGTATAATGCCAATTTATTACATAAATCCTTTCCTTACATCTAGATGATTAAGTAGGAGTAAAGCTAATAATTAGAGTCTGGAAGAAGCTATGCATCAGTTGAGAACCCCATTAAGCAGACATTATATGTTATAAAGATGTGTGTCTTTGGCATGTTGTTGACAAAAGACACAATGTTCTGTCCTCACTATGCAGTTAAACCCACCTATCGTCCAATAAAACAGACCATGTGCATAGATCTGAATGTTTTATTGAAAGAACAGGATATGGGGAAAATGGGGAAAATAGGAATACATAGAATGAGAACCAAATACAAGATAGGCAGTATTGGGTTACTGCTGAGTATAACAATTAATAAATATAAGCAATCTAAATTTCACCAGCAATGCTCTGTCTGTGGGATGTGGGTTTGTCCTTGGATGACCATATGCCACAGATTAAGATGGATTCTTCTTTGTGCTTCTGCCTTCTCCAAATGCTAAAGGAAATGGAGTCGAGCTTCCCAGCATGCATTTGTTTTGAGAGTGCGGGCTGATGGTAATGGGTGGGGTCAGCTTCAAACAATATACTTAGTATTTGTTTCTCCGGTCACTAGATGGGGCTAGAGAGCAACAACAGTATGTAAAGACTGTATGTTGGGGCATATTTGTCCCTCCAGCCACTAGATGGGGCTAGAGAGCAACAACAGTATATAAAAGCCTAGAGAAAGACGGAGGAAAGTCATGCAAAAATGAATCCAAAACAATCAGCAAATTTGAAGTTGAAAAGCAAAAATACTTGTCAGCTTTTAATATGGCATAGCTGATGTCTAAACTGCCAATTTTTGTCTTTGTTCCGTAATAAACAAGATTAAAAGTGCCATTTCTGTGTTCTTGCCTATAGGAGTCTGATCCTGAACCCATGTGTATGTGCCCCCAGTGACAGCACCCATGTGCTGACTTGTGTACAGTATAAAGCATTCCAAGTACCCATGCAATGCAATATTTTATTTCATTTCTCCTTGCAGGAGTTGTGTTTTATATAGTGTCCTCATTTGCTATCATTTCTTTGGTTTTGAAGTCAGATCTTTAAAAGTCTGGAAGAACTTTTATATCCTTCTGGCTTCATTATTTCTTTTTTCATCTCAGTTTTCTCATAAATGAATTCCTGGTCACATTAAGAGAGAGAAAATGAATCGAGTATAATTATAGAGAACATATTACTAAGTATATTCATTTAGTTAAACGCATGAGACTTACATACTCATGCATTTAACTAAAATGCAAATTGAATACTGTGTACATATGCAAGATGGCATATCAATTGGAGATGCTTGTGGGAAATCTGATATCTCTAAAGATTGTGAAGTAGCCTCCACTTGTGTTTTCTTTCTCAAGGTTGAAAATAATATTTTTGAACTGGTACTGGCTCAAGTGTTTCATTTTCCTTACCACTTGTTGCTCTCTCCTAGGCGAAGTAACACATGAAATGGCAACATGCACCATCCCCTGGGTCAATGGTCCCTAGCAAGCGCCTCTCTAATTTCTTCTGTACCTGCTGTTACCAAAAATGTTCCCAGTTGCACTGCGGTTATAACATTCACTGTCTCACAGAACTTCAATTCAAAACACAATACTGCAGGTCATTCTTTCCCTGATTTATCCGTTCATTTTTCTGGTGCATTTTTTTTTCATTTGTTAGTTTGGTTTCTGTTGAATAAGCCCACGATGCATCCTTGAAACACTGCAGGCTTTGTTTGTTTGTTTTTTACCCAGCTTCCAAATAACCCAAATAAAGTACTATACATTTGGGGGTATTTAGCAGCAGGAATGAAACCCTGCTACTCATATTACAGGAAAAACTATGAACTGTGCACCAGCGATTTTTCCTTAAAGATTGAAGTGGATATTTCATTTAAAAATATCTCTCATGCGTTCAAATATGAATATGTTCTGCATTTCAGGCAAATGATGTAAGTACTGTATTACACTACTGAGAAATGTCTGAGGCAGCAGTTGCTGTTTAGACATGGAAATTTGGAAGCCTGAACACCACTTTATGAACTCAACATGAAGTGTGAAAGGGCCTGGGAAAAGCTTTTGCAGAGGGGTCAAAGCATTGAATCCTGGATCAGTTCAAGGATGAAAAAACAACAGAAGTTTTGAGGTAACAGAATGACATCTGTAATTACTATGTATGAATAAATGTTCCTTCCCTTTAGATTTACAC